ACCGATGACAATAATAAATACGATAATGCTGCAAACGTTAATAATAATAATAATAATAATAATACTGATAACAATTCGCAAAAAATAATATACTATAATATGTAATCAAGAAAGAACAATGAAAATCAGTGGCTAAAAACCGAGAGACGATTAGTGCCGGTGGTCAAAGATTATCTGATCGAAAGCAAAGTGGAGGAATGGGAAAAAAGAAGCGGATCGACCTAATTTGTTCGAATCGCGCTCTTTTCCCTCCCCTTTTTTTTCTTCTAATTTCTTTACATTTTATATGTATATATATATATATATATTATTTTTTTTTTCGTTTACGTTTATTCTCACGCATACCATCTTTTTCTTCCTTTCTTTCTTTCGTTTTCCTTTTTTTCTTTTTTTTTTTTCGATCGATCAAATCAACAAACACGCGTCAAACGGTGCACTTTGTTAATTCGTAATTTCTTTTTTTTTTTTGTTCTTTTTGTTTTCTTATTTATCTTATTCTCCTCTTTAAAAATGTTTCCGCTCTCTACCCGAAACCGACTTACTAATTTCATTTTTATTCTCGTTTCTCGTTAATTAATTAACTCGTTAATTCGTTAATTCATTAGTATTGCTTAGGGTTTTATTGCTCTACGTTCGTACGCACGCGGTACACAGAATTTTTATGGAAATATTCGCGAAATAAACCGTCGCCATTTGTGATAATGGGGGAGGGGGAGGGGCAGGGCCAGGGTCACCCGAAAAGCCTTTGGGATCGATCGATTTCTCGCGTGAGGCTCGATCGTTGGATCATTCATTTCCCGAAAAGGAAAAATCTCTCCGAGAATGAGTTCAACGTCGACCTTTCAAGCTGCTATGCAAAATGAAAAATGAGTATAGTACAAGACATGAATGTACGTGTGTGTATGTGTGTGTAGTACGTGTATGTGTGTGTGTATGCGTGTGTATACGTTTCTCTGTGTCTCCGGTGCTTCGTTTCTTCCCGTTTTTTTTTTCTCGCGATTATTATTACTTTTTTTTTTTTACCTATTTTTGCTTCTTTTTTTTTTTCTTCTTTAAACTGTTTTGGCGGTGAGGTCGGCTACTCTGTACATGCAACGCGGTAATTATTTGTCGGCAATAATTATTATAAAAGGACTCGTTGGATCGTCGCGCCAACTCTTCCCGAGCTGGCAATGATCCACGCTCTTCATTTTTTTTTTTGTTTCTCTCGCGATCCTGTTTCGCGTGTATTTCCATTCCTTTTTCTTCCAAACTGTGCTTTTCTATTTCTTCCTTCTTTCTTCCTCGTGTTCTCTCTCTCTCTCTCTGTCTCGTTATTCTCTCTGGAATAATTCGGCGCGCTGTAATCGTTGCTTTCGAAGGAAAAGTTGGTCGAATGAGGCAGAGAATTTTTTTTTTTCAGCCGGATTTCGTTGTTACTCCCTTTTCGTTGTCTCGAAATATCTCTTTCTTTTTTTTTTCGAAAGAATTTACGATAAAATATTTACGAATTTCGATGTATAACCGCGTCGTTGCATTGCTTATAGAATGAAAATTTTATACGATTTATAATACTATATTTCTATATATCTTATCTTTCGGATCGTTGTTCGTTATATAAAATATATTAGAATTGGTGTTTTGACTCGTTGTACGAAGCTTAAATTACACGGCGTATTCGTTTGAAAAATATTAGAAGCTAATAAAGGCAAACCACGAAGCCACTATTAATTGCTCTCACGATCGAATCGATAAATATTCGATTTGTCTAAAAAATTTGCGTCGATTTTTTTTTTTCTTTTTTTTTTTTTTTTTTTTAGTTGATTAAAGAACTCATTTATGAAAAATTTTAACATTATTACTGTTTATCGTGCAATACATATCGTGCAAATGATTTGCAATTTTTCTAATTTTATATTACATAAATATTAATTTTGATATTTATTATTCTAGTATCATTTTGCCATATATGCAAATTTATTTTATTGTAAAATTAAAAATTTTATAGCCATCATTTGTTTCAAGAGATCGACAAATTTTTGCTAATATTCAGAGAAACTTAATAACCTTTCTCGCGTTAAATGTTGTATTTTGGTAGGAAATATTGCTTCTATTTAAATAAGGGAGGAACAATGAATTTTTTCTCGAATCGCGAAATCCGGCCAGAAATTTTGCCGCCAATATTTCGAACGAATATCGCGAAAGACGCGTGGAAGAGCGTGGTAAGACGATCGAAAAAGTTTTATGCCGAAGCAAATCATCGTTATTCCATCACGTTAAACTTCGATGTTCGCCTCTATATGTATAATTATATAATTCGTTGTGTCGAAACATTGCTTTTGACCGTACGCGTCGTCATTATTACTTTTTTTTTTTTTTCTTACTCGTTATATTGCTTCTATAAAATATGTGTATAACAATGTTACGCATCTATTATTCGAATCTGCTCTAAATATTACGTGTAACGCGTTTCTTGTCGTGTTCGTGTTGTATTTGTCTCTCCTACGTATTCTTATGTATACTCGTGTGTGCGCGCGGGTGTATGTGTGTAGCTCTCGTTCAAAAGTCTTGAAACAGTTTCTTTTTTAATAAAAACACGCGATGTTCTTCCATTCGTGTATAATTTTAATTTCTTTTTTTTTTTTTAGTAAAATTTTTTAGTATACGTCGAATTGAACGCGATATCTCTTCGTAAATTTTTCAAAAGTAATTTTTCCAATTTCGAAACTTTCGATCGAGGGTGTATACGTTTTTTTTTACCTTGTTTCGATGTTCGAAAGCTTGCATACATATGTATTTAACCGATCGTGTAACGACGCTGAGAAAATATTTTGCGACGGCCTCGAGGCGATTCGATCGATGTCCACGTGTCGTTAACACGTTCTATGCCACGCACGACTGTCGATGACTTTTTTTTCTTCTTTTTTTCTTTCCCTCCCTTCTTTATCATTTACGTTTGCGCTCTCCCGTGCGAGGTAAAAATAACGAGGCAATCGGTGGGATTAAACATTTGAAAAGGTGTGAGTATCATTATCGTTCACGAGGGTGAAAAAATTTTACACGACATAAAAAGTGTCGATAATGATGGCGGACAAGCCAAGGATCTATCGGATTATTAATTATTTACTCAAACTTCTTTCTCCCGTGGATACGAACTTTTTTTACGAAACGAATTTGTAAAATTTATTTCCTCGCGAGATATATCTCTTTTATTGCTTTATTTTTTTTCAAATGAACGGTATCCATCCTTGTTTATTCGCTTTTCTTAATGGTTAAACCGTACTGAACCAGAATATCCAACAATAATCTTAACGATATATAAAACTATCCCGATAAATCAATGAAACGTAATATTTCCTCGCCCACCACCATCATTAAAGAATGGCCATCGAACGATCGCCAAGAATTCGATTAGTCGAAATACGTTACACGAACGATCTTCCTCGTCGTGGAACGAAACGTACAGACCTGTCCGTGGATCGACACGATCGAACAATTGTAATGATGGTCCAACCGAGTCGAAGGAGCCATCGAAAAAGGAACATGGGGGAGGATCGATCGAAGAATCGATCGTCCGGCCACGGCTGTCCGTTTCGACGAGTCTTTTGATCCTTTGGATCATTCGATCTCTTCCTCGATCGACGTCAGCACGCCGATTACATGATTTCGCGGGGGGTGAAGATAGAAGAAGAATCGAAAACCGGCCGGAAATCATGTCGAAAACTATCAATCAATGTGTGTGTGTGTGTGTGTGTGTGTGTGTGTGTGTGTGTGTTTGTGTGTTTGTGT